GGAAGGGAGGGAGGGAGGGAGGGAGAAGGAAGGGAGGGAGGGAGGGAGGGAGGGAGGGAGGGTCTGGGGGGGGGGGGGTGATTTAGGGAAGTGGGGAACAGACCATTAAGGGAAGGAATCTTATGACGTCGGTTCGAGTCTCCCGTTGTTGAGTCCTTCGCCCATAGGATTGGGTGCTCGTGTCAATGGTAGATGCTGTTAGCCTCATTCCTGGTCATTCCCAGGTCATTCCCAGGTCATTCCCAGGTCTTTCCCAGGTCATTCCCAGGTCATTCCCAGGTCATCCCCAGGTCATTCCCAGGTCATTCCCAGGTCATTGCAGGTCATTCCCAGGACATTCCCAGGTCATTCCCAGGTCATTCCAAGGTCATTCCCAGGTAATTCCAAGGTCATTCCCAGGTCATTCCAAGGTCATTCCCAGGTCATCCCCAGGACATTCCCAGGGCATTCCCAGGTCATTCCAGGTCATTCCCAGGTCATTCCCAGGGCATTCCCAGGTCATTCCCAGGGCATTCCCAGGTCATTCCCAGGGCATTCCCAGGGCATTAGGCGATCCATTGGTATCAGTGCCGGACAACCTTCCCTGAAGCGCTGACAAGTACCCAAGTACCGAGAAGTACTGGCTTCAGCGGTACCAGAAGTACCTAAGCGAGGTTGGAGTGAGGAGGAATGCTGTGGTAATGGTCAGAGGCGGTGACTAGTCCGGCTGTGATGGCTGGCAGCTGGCAACACTCTTGGGACATACCCCGGGGCCAAGATAACAGTTCGGCGTTATCGTTTAACCCAAATGGAATTTTGGTTATCTTGGCAGCTCTTTGAGAGAGCGGGGAAGAGATTGGCGAGAGAGAGAGAGAGAGAGAGAGAGAGAGAGAGAGAGAGAGAGAGAGAGAGAGAGAGAGAGAGAGAGAGAGAGAGAGAGAGAGAGAGAGAGAGAGAGACAGAGAGACAGAGAGACAGAGACAGAGAGACCGTGGACATCTTCAAGAGAAAACTAGATAGTTGTCTTCAAGGAGTGCCGGACCAACCGGGCTGTGGTGGGTATGTGGGCCTGCGGGCCGCTCCAAGCAACAGCCTGGTGGACCAAACTCTCACAAGTCAAGCATCATCCATGTGCTTCTTTCTTCCCTCCCTATTCCACAGCGTTCCTCTCCCGTCCCACCAGCGTCCCCCTCCCGTCCCACCGGCGTCTCCCTCCCGTCCCACCAGCGTCTCCCTCCCGTCCCACCGGCGTCCCCCTCCCGTCCCACCGGCGTCCCCTTCCCTCTGTCTCTAGGTGGTGTGGTATCAGCCGAGGGGGAAGACAATTTATCAAGACAATGGTGAGAGTTTCTGAGGGGCGCACTAAGCCGGTTGGTGAGGGGTAGGGGGCGGTGTAGGGGCTCTTAGGGGAGGGGGTGAGGGGTAGGGGATCTGAGGGGAGGGAGTGAGGGGTAGGGGGCGGTGTAGGGGATCTTAGGGGAGGGGGTGAGGGGTAGGGGATCTTAGGGGAGGGGGTGAGGGGTAGGGGGCGGTGTAGGGGATCTTAGGGGAGGGGGTGAGGGGTAGGCGGTGTAGGGGATCTTAGGGGAGGGGGTGAGGGGTAGGGGGCGGTGTAGGGGATCTTAGGGGAGGGGGTGAGGGGTACGGGGCGGTGTAGGGGATCTTAGGGGAGGGGGTGAGGGGTAAGGGGCGGTGTAGGGGATCTTAGGGGAGGGGTGAGGGATAGGGGAGCTTAGAGAAGGGGGGGGGTCCCTGGGATAAGAGGAAGTTGGGACTAGAAGGGAGAGAAAGAGAACTTAAGTTCCTTGGGATGATGGGTATAAGGAATAGGGAGAGGGAAAGGTATCAGAGATAAGGCAAGTGGTGGAAAGGGAAAGGTATCAGAGATAAGGCAAGTGGTGGAAAGGGAAAGGTATCAGAGATAAGGCAAGTGGTGGAAAGGGAAAGGTATCAGAGATAAGGCAAGTGGTGGAAAGGGAAAGGTATCAGAGATAAGGCAAGTGGTGGAAAGGGAAAGGTTTCAGAGATAAGGCAAGTGGTGGAAAGGGAAAGGTATCAGAGATAAGGCAAGTGGTGGAAAGGGAAAGGTATCAGAGATAAGGCAAGTGGTGGAAAGGGAAATGTATCAGAGATAAGGCAAGTGGTGGAAAGGGAAGCTTAGAGTGGGGGGGGGGATCTTGCGGGTGGGGGGAGGGGGGGAGTAATGGAGAAAGGTAGATACCAAGATTTGTTGATATAAATTACTAGTTAATACTGAACAAATCCACAAGGGCCGTGACGAGGATTCGAACCTGCGTCCGGGAGCATCCCAGACACTACCTTAATCGACTGAGCTACGACAGGGTTAAAAGAATTGAAACACCTCACTAGACTTTGTGTGTGTAAAGTCTAGTGAATTCTCTCTACCCCCCCCCCCCCCCTGTACCACCCCTCTGTTTTCTCTCTTCCATCCTTCTCTCTCTCTCTCCCTTCCCCCCCTTTTCCTCTTACCCCTCTTCCCTCCCTCCTCCCCTTCCGGCCTCACCCTCGAACAGACAAACATTTACATTTATATATATTCTACACTACTTGTGCTTAACCTACGCTTGAAACAACCAACGATCCTACATCTATTATGTTACCCGCTGATTTGCTCGATAGATCATCAACCCTATTCTCAAACCAGTATTTACCCACGGCTTTCCTGAATGTAAACTTACCCAATTGTTCTGTTATTGGTAATTCAGTTCGAATAATGAGAGTAGGTCACACCAAAATGGCCGAACACAGACATTTAACTCGTAAATACCAAAGCCATAAACTATACAAGACTTTATAAGACTATATAAGATGTTGAGCTTGGCCTCAGGCCGGGCTCGGGGAGTAGAACTACTCCAGAAACCCTCTTCAGGTAGGCTCCAGGTAAGACTAGGATTTGAATTTGCAGCACCGGAATGTGACCCTTTGTCTGCAGGCACACACAAAATATCATGGAAAAGGCCATATGGTTTGCGACAAGACTGTCACCGGTATCATGAGGACTGAGCTATGAAGACGGTGAAAGGGTCAGACACATCATACATGGAGGGATTTTTGTTATTGTTATTTTCTACCACAGACGTGGCCAGACATTTACAATGCTAACCAGCATATATACATTTTCTTCTGTCCTCCATGGACAGGGTGAGAGATCTGCTAAACATATAGTTCAGGGATTTATTGAACAATCAACCACAGAAGGTGATTGTAGTGCTTTTAAAATGCTAAACTAACCTTCATACATAAATACATAGATTTACGTCTGCCCTACATAAAGTGGTCAATGTGTTTTACATAGTTTTATTAATGTGTCATTAGAGTCAGGCAGAGTGCCAGAGTCGTGGAAGGTTGCTAATGTGGTACCAGTTTTTAAGAAAGGAGATAGATCACTTGCGTCAAACTATCGGCCAATTAGCCTAACGTCTATTATGGGAAAGTTACTTGAATCGATAGATGCAAATACAATTCGTCTTCATCTTAAAAAACATAAATTAATAAATGATTCGCAACATGGTTTTACAAATGACCGTTCATGTTTAACAAATTTGCTATCATTTTATTCCAGCATAGTTGAGGCAGTTGATAGTGGTAAGGATTGTGATGTTGTGTACCATGAATTTAGCAAAGCTTTTGATACAGTGCCACTTGAAAGACTGATTAAAAAGATAGAGGCTCATGGTATTCGGAGTGCTATATTAAGCTGGATTAGGGCATGGCTATTCCAAAGGAAACAGAGAGTTAGTATAAATGGGGTCAAGTCAGAGTGGGAAAATATTGTAAATGAAGTGCCTCAAGGCTCTGTCCTGGGACCTTTGTTATTTATAATATATATAAATGATTTAAATTCAGGTTTGAGCAGCAATATTTGCAGATTTGCCGATGATACAAAAATCGGGAGGGAAATAAACACAGTAAAAGACTCACTTTCACTTCAAGACGATCTAAATAGGGATTTGAAATGGTCAAAAGATTGGCAGATGGTGTTTAATGCTGATAAATGTCAAGTTTTGAGGGTAGGTAGTGATGATAGAGTTGCAAGATACGAGCTAGATGGTGTTGAGATTGCGAAGTCGGATTCCGAAAGGGATTTAGGAGTTATGATTAGTAAGAATTTAAAACAAAAGGATCAGTGCATGAATGTTCGAAATAGGCAAATAGGACACTGGGATTTATTAATCGAAGCGTTAGTAACAAGACACCTGGTGTGGTTCTTCAGCTATATCTAGCTCTGGTTAGGCCCCATTTAGGTTATGCAGTTCAGTTTTGGTCGCCGTACTATAGAATGGATATTAATTCACTAGAACGCGTTCAGTCAGTGTAGGATGACAAAGTTAATCCCTCCAAATTAGAAACCTATCATATGAAGAAAGATTAACATAGCTTAAATTATATTCACCGGAATGGCGAAGAGTTAGTCGTAACATGATAGAGGTTTACAAGTTGATGAATGGACATAACAAAGGGGATATTAATAGGGTACTCAAAGTATCAACACAAGACAGAACACGAAACAGTGGGTATAAATTGGATAAGTTTAGATTTAGGAAAGGATATGTAGGGAAATAGAATTGATCGCATTGAAGCTGAGAGACTCATATAGAACCCAAGAGAGGCAAAGAGAGCAAAAGGCCATAAGTGAAATAGAGAGGAACCCGGCTGGGGGGTGGGGGGGGGATATGAGGAGGAAGGGTGCCCAACCACTTGGACGGTCGGGGATTGAACGCCAACCTGCATGAAGCGAGACCGTCGCTCTACCGTCCAGTCCAAGTGGCTGAGGTGTGTTTTTAGCAAACGATCGACGACTACTCCATTTACCGGCAATAATATCCTAGATGACAAAAAATTAGTCAAGTGGCTGTCAAAGCCGGGAGTTCCATCTTGACTAATATTTGTCATCTAGGATATTAATATCAGGGTAACGGGACTAGTCAGTGGCTTATTAAAAATTACCAGATCAGAGGCTTGCTAGAAGTTACCGGATCAGAGGCTTACCAAGACTCAAGATGAAACTTCTCGGTTCAGGGACGTATGGGACAGTGTCCCTCATGGACTGGGACGGCCAGCCAGCAGCGCTGAAATTAGCAAAATCTTCAGAGTTTTCAGCAGTGTTTAAAAGCGAAGGCAACGTCCTCTCGTTACTGAATGGTGCAGGAGGCGCCCCTTTGTTGTTGCACAGGTCAGTGAATCCACCATCACTTGTGACCACCTATAAAGGCAACCAGACCCTACAAGACGTCTTGAGACGTCCCAAATATGACCTTCTCGAGTTAGGACTTGAGGTTGGCATAAAGTTACAAGAGGTTCACGAGGCGGGTATAGTACACAATGATATAAAATGTGATAACGTCATGGTCCAAGGTCCGCCCCACAACCCACAGGTTAGTATAATTGATTTTGGCTTGGCCTCCAGAAACAACGTGAAAATTTTCCTGGAAGGTGACCCGACTATCAATACTATATATGCCCCCGAGGTCCTTCAGAAGAAGGCAAGCACTTTTGCCTCAGACGTCTACTCTTATGGGAGGCTAATGCTGGTGATAAAGAAGCGGTTGCCCAAGCATCACCCGGAACTAGATAAGTTGCTTCGGGAAGCAACCAACAAGATCCCAAGGCGGCGCCCAACCCTTCATATGTTTCTAAGGCGTTTACGCGAAGTCATAAGCAAAATCTCACCCAATACGAAAAGTTTCTGTAAAAAACAGGACACCAGAGCAACCTCCGACAGTTTGAACGCCAAGAAACTGCGAGAGCGCCGGACAAAGCGCAGTCGGAGCCCATCTCCAAACATGTCCGCTCAGCGCGGCATGAAACTGCGCAAACGACCTAAAACGCGCCATCAGACCCCAGCCAAATAGGATAAAAATTTACAACGCGGTAAAAAGAAAAAGCCAAAAAATGCCCTGAGAAACCGAACCCAAGTCTTAGAGGCTACACGAACCTTAGTCAGCTGTAAGACTAAAGGACTCGGGACATTTGTTAAATAAATTGTTCCTATAATTTTTTCAGTGTTTAAATTCAAATTTAGTCTGTTAAATAATTAGTCAAAAATATGAAAAACTTGTTTTATTTGTTTTAAAATATAGCACCATTTTCTATTGCTATAAAATTTGTAAATAAATATAAAAATAAAGTAAATGTATTAACATAGAAAATGTATATTATTTTCAATAGCCTGCATATTAACTGGAATACAACTTTTGAGGCAGAAATGACATTTGTAAACGGAGAAGAAAAACTGAGGTTCAGAACTCTTCAACGAACTGATTACTAATTAACGTAGACAAAGTTCCTGTTTAAAGCCAGGAAGAGAAGAACAAGAGGGTTAAAGATGGAATATAGACACATGAACAAGTTTCAGAGCTGCGGGCTCACCATAGCCCGTGCTACTTGGAACTTTATGTTCCAGGTAGCGAATCTTTAACAACTGAGTGGAATAGGTTAGACATAATAGTTGTTGAAGCTGGCACGATTGACAATGTTATGTGTAAATATGATGAGAAATTAGTCATTGTATTAATCAAAGAACTATCGATCATGGCGCCTAGATCGATCATGCAAGAACATCTTGGTGAACATCCACAAACTACTAAACTAGGTAATTAATGATTAAAATGACTTATGAAAATCCATTTTTTTACAAAAATTTAAAATATTTTATTTTAAAATTTAAAATCGATTATCAAAAGGCACCAAATATTGGGTTTGTGACGACAATTTTCCGATGTTTTTATTATTCAATAATAATTTATAGAGCTTTGACAATTCTGTGTTTTAAGTGTTGAACAATTCTAGTGTTCAAGGTTTATGGTAACTAGATTATGACTCCAATAGCACTTTGTACGGAGTTTACACTGTTCAAAGTGGACGTTCCTTGGATTAGGACTTTGACACCGCTGTTTAAGGACGTTCACTTTGTTCAAAGTAGTTCTCTGGATTAGGCCTTTGATAGCGTTGTTCACTCTGTGCAAAGTAGTTCCCTGGATTAGGCCTTTGATAGTGTTGTTCACTCTGTTCAAAGTAGTTCCCTGGATTAGGCCTTTGATAGCGTTGTTCACTCTGTTCAAAGTAGTTCCCTGGATTGGGCCTTTGATAGCGTTGTTCACTCTGTTCAAAGTAGTTCCCTGGATTAGGCCTTTGATAGCGCTGTTCACTCTGTTCAAACTAGTTCCCTCAATTAGGGCTCAGATAGTGCTGTTTAGGGCGCTCACTCTGCTTCATGTCGTGTTCAAGATTCACTTATTAAATCGTTCGTTCTGTTTCCTGTCTTGTTCAGGGATGACGGTCACTGGGTTAGGACAGGGATAGCGAAGTCTAGGGCCCTGACTTAGGCTCTTTCTGTGTGTGCAAAGTTGACAGCCTCTGAAGTAGGATTCCAGTATACATTTCTACGGTTCAAAGCCAAGGAATTCTTGCCTAATTTTGCCTTCAGGAGGTGTAGCAGGACTCTAAGTGATGTGCGCCTCCTAGGGTTAGAGGGAGGGGAATTATCAGGAGAAAGTGCCAAGGTATTACGACGTTATAGCACTTAAAAGGGGCCAGGATAAGGATTTGGGATGGGACGGGGAAAGGAATGGTGCCCAACCACTTGGACGGTCGGGGATTGAACGCCGACCTGTCCTAGGGTTGCAGTGCATAGCTCTTCTCTTCGTCATTATCCGTTATCTGACCTGTCCCATTTTTCAATGGACCTATCCTGTCCCTAATCTTTGTTCGATATATCTGAAAAAAACTTTTACGATTTGCCTTTGCTTGCCGTGTTATGCGAACTTCATAGTTTCATTTTGCCCTCCTTATCTCTTTCTTAACATTTCTAACCAGTTGTACGAATTCTTGTTCTAAACTGACTTCCCCATTCTTAATCCATTAAAGGATTATGATCATTTCGTTCTGAGTAGATATAGCTACTCAGAACGAAATGTCGATGTAGCATGGGCTATAGTGAGCCCGTAAACTTAATAAATATCAGTATATGATTATATAGGACATAGAAGGGAGGCGAGGAACGAGGCCCCAATCTCGTTCTGAGTAGATATAGCTACTCAGAACGAAATGTCGATGTAGCATGGGCTATAGTGAGCCCGTAAACTTGATAAATATCAGTATATGATTATATAGGACATAGAAGGGAGGCGAGGAACGAGGCCCCAATCTCTCGCACCATCGGGGATCGAACGCCGACCAGCAAGATGATGTCACCGGACCAACCATTCCAAGTGATTGGGGTCGACAAATGTTGTAAGACAATGTATCGACCTCATAGGAGGCTACAAGACATTACTCACGTAGAAAATAACATGCAAACTTACTCCAGATACTTGATTCTGAACAGGCGGGCCCAAGAGCTTGATTTCCAACCCCCTCCCCCCCCCCCTCTCGGTATAGTATGTAAGCCCTGTTAGGCAAGCACCCTTAGGGAAGCACTCACCTTCGCCCGTATAACCCCGTCGTTAGAAAAGTCAGACGAGAATTTCTCACCTGGTATTAATTAATGTTATAAATTATTGTTGACGCAGGTGAGAGGGGGAAGATAGCTTCCCGTCCCTCTCTCTCTGCTCTTTTTCCCGCCCCGCCCCGCCCCGCAAAACCCGCCAGGCGGAGATGAATCACCCCACATACCCACTGGCCGTAAATCACCCCCGAATCAAGGAATATGACAATCGCAGCCGTGATTGGAATGAGAACTGGCGGAGGAACAGAAGAATGGTCGTGAATGTGGAGCTGAAGTGTGGGAGAGGAATGAAGGAAAGGGAATTAGTAAAATGAAAAGAGAGGGGGGGGAAACATGGTGAATAAACGGGAAGGAGTGGGAGAATGGAAGGGAGAGGGGGAACATGAGAGGGGAAGGGCAGAGAGGAGGGGTGTATGGATGGGGGACAAGCGCTTGTTAGCAGTAATGGACCGACATTGGGCAGACCGCCGCTTTAACTGCCAATTAGCCGTGGTTGGCAAGCCAGGAATCGCTTGTTGGTGCATTGTCAGCGTTCTTGGCACCCCCGACCTTTGTGGCTCTGCTGTGGGGGGGGGGGGGTTGTGGTCAGGTGGGGGGTTAATTAGGAAGGGTTGTGGGCTGGTGGGGGGGTTGATTAGGAGGGGTTGTGGGCAGGTGGGGGGTTTGATTAGGAGGGGTTGTGGGCAGGTGGGGGGGTTGATTAGGAGGGGTTGTGGGCAGGTAGGGGGTTGATTAGGAGGGGGGTTTGATGAGCGGACAGAAAACATTCACTCCATTGAATGCCTGAACAATTAGGACTGATTAAACCCCTTCACTCCATGCTTCCTGGAGCGTGGAGCAAGAATGGTCCAACTTGGCACTTTGGAAACACTGCAAGGACATGATCCAGAGCTGTACGATCCTTATCTGTACACGTACACCTTGTATAAGATAAGCGTAATGTGTACACATGCACTTTGAGAAGGCTTTATATGTGTGCAAATCTCCTCGTGGCTTCAAAGAACTCTCCCATTCATTGTGAGAGGATGTCAAAGACTCGTAAGTGTCTTCGTAAGGATGTCGCAGGCTCCCACGTGTCCTCGTAAGGATGTCGCAGGCTCCCACGTGTCCTCGTAAGGATGTTGCAGGCTCCCACGTGTCCTCGTAAGGATGTCGCAGATGAATGTGTCTTCAAGAGAGTACAGGTTATCACACAAACTCCTGTTGGTCAGGTTCAGTTGTCTGTGTGTGTACTGGATAAAGCCGCCATCTGGAGCCCAGGTCCGAGATCAAGTCCCGAGGGCACTACCAAGTTTCCAAGCCTCCCCAGCAGGCGAGGAGGGAGAAGGGGGAGTGGGGGATTGTAAGGGTCTGTGGGGAGCTGCTTCGTGGAGACGCAAGGAGAAGCATTTTCCAGCTACAGATGTGGCCAGGCGTTTAAAATGCTAACTAGCGTATATGCGATTCTTCTGTCTTCGTGGATAGAGTTAGTCATCTGTTTCACATCAACAGATGGGTGATTGTGGACCCCAGATGACTCTATATGGCCAGAAACTAGAGGCAGTGAAGAGTAGAGGTGCCATTAGCACAATCAGAGAACACGATGAACATCAGATGACTACAGCTAATCAATCCTCCCAATAAATCTAAGAACTATTGGCGGCCTTGCGTACGACCCTCCGGCCGGCGTACGACCCTCCGGCCGGCGTACGACCCTCCGGCCGGCGTACGGCCCTCCGGCCGGCGTACGGCCCTCCGGCCGGCGTACGGCCCTCCGGCCGGCGTACGACCCTCCGGCCGGCGTACGACCCTCCGGCAGGCGTACGACCCTCCGGCTGGCGTACGACCCTCCGGCTGGCGTACGACCCTCCGGCCGGCGTACGACCCTCCGGCCGGCGTACGACTCTCTAGCCTGCGTACGACCCTCTAGCCTGCGTACGACCCTCTAGCCTGCGTACGACCCTCTACCCTGCGTACGACCCTCTAGCCTGCGTACGACCCTCTAGCCTGCGTACGACCCTCTACCCTGCGTACGACCCTCTACCCTGCGTACGACCCTCTACCCTGCGTACGACCCTCTACCCTGCGTACGACCCTCTAGCCTGCGTACGATTCTAGCCTGCGTACGACCCTTGCGTACCATCTAACCTACAGGATTCATCATTTTAATTATTGCCCCGCCTCGCTTGTAAATCACGTGTGTGGGCATCACCCGCAGTGCAACGGCATCCCCCCCTACCCCCTACTCTAGCACCCTTTCTCCCTCCTTTACCCATACACCCTTGCTTCCCTCCCCCTCCCCTACCCATGCACCCTTGCTTCCCTCCCCCTCCCCTACCCATGCACCCTTGCTTCCCTCCCCCTCCCCTACCCATGCACCCTTGCTTCCCTCCCCCTCCCCTACCCATGCACCCTTGCTTCCCTCCTCCTCCCCTACCCATGCACCCTTGCTTCCCTCCCCCTCCCCTACCCATGCACCCTTGCTTCCCTCCCCCTCCCCTACCCATGCACCCTTGCTTCCCTCCCCTACCCATGCACCCTTGCTTCCCTCCCCCTCCCCTACCCATGCACCCTTGCTTCCCTCCCCCTCCCCTACCCCTCCACCCTTGCTTCCCTCCCCCTCCCCTACCCATGCACCCTTGCTTCCCTCCCCCTCCCC